ACGATCTAAAATAAATGTATTGCCACTGTCCGAATTAAAATATTTTTATCTTCCACACGGCAGTGTATTGCCATTCAGCAAAGCGTAAGATAGTTTTTAATTTTTTTTTTCCAAATTTGTTCTTTTTTTTAATTAGCAGACTAAGCAATTGAAAAGCAATAAAGCATATTCGTTTCAATTATTATTAATCATTAGCTGGAGCCAAGAAATTGCATTAGCTAGATTTATTAAAATCGTATATACTTTTTTCTTTTTTTACAATTACCATTTCAGGAGTCTGGTCGCGCAAGCGGCTAGTTCTGTAATACATTCATCTATACCGATACATTTGCTCGGAAATTCATTTGGCATCTTGATCTTAAATGCTCACGTGCATATAGTTTTACCTTTTAGAGTGCCTCAGTTTTAATAGCAGAGATTAAACTGCTTTAGTTGTAACAAAATTGATTGTTTCGTATTTTGAACTTTTACTTTTCCAATGTTTTCATTACTTGTGTATTGTTAACAATGCATTATTAACAGAAGTGTTCTAATGAGCCAAGTAGACGTAATTCAGATCATTTTAATATTAATATTATAAAGAAATAGAATGATGGGAAAGAAAAATGCAAGTATAATTTACATTTCAAGCATCGAAATCATCTGCGTTTCGCACTACAATTAACAAACTGGAGAGAGCAAGAAATATAATAAGACTATAATTATCTTACTGCCAATATTGAAAACTACAGTTATCCGAAATGTTTGATCTTCTTTCTAGCCTAATATCAAAAATTAAACTTATTAACTCATTCATATGTTTGTAATTTTTTCTTTGATATAAATAATATAAGGAATGAAATACATAATATACAATTTTAGCAAACTTTGTATTTTGTTCTTAAAATGAGTACTATATATCAATAGAATTATTGCCTCTGTTTAACGAATAATTGAACCCCGCAAGTAAACGAATGATAGACTACGAAATACTGATAGGTTGATTCAGGTTCGAACCCAAGTGAACGGGATGGCTGTATCACAGTTGTTTTGACAGCTTTCTTCCATGTGCAACAGGGATATGAGCCAATTTTCCTTCGAACGCTCTTCACGAAGGCATCCCCTCGTGTGCTATGCTTATTCAAATAGTCTGTTTTTAGTTTAACAGACATAAATTATGCTTTTTGTTATGTGCAAAGAAAGGAGCCTGTTTAATTTTAGTTCTTGGGAGTGGGAGGGAGATTATTTCTTCATTCCTAACTCAGCCAGCCATATGAACAAAAATTAATTTTCCTTCTTTTAGTTGAAGTAGACACAGGTTGCGAGTTTTGATGAATAAAAGTGGTTTTACATTTCAGTTTTTCCATAGAATGCCTGTTTTGTATTTTATTTTATGGAAATTAAAATATTTAATTTTCTTAGGTGTAAAACCGTAATTGAGAAAAACATTCTAGAAACAAAAAGATTAGGAAGCAAACCTGTTGCCCAGAATGTTCAGATAGATTATGTTCACATTATTTCGGGTATTTGAAGTTCTGTTGAAAAGCTTATTTCTAGTTCAAAGCATGTTTTATATAATTTCTAATATTCACATTTATATTGACACATAAATAAAAATAACACATAACTGAATGAAAGTGAATCTAATCGTAAACTGTTGTGCCCAATTTTGTTAAAACATTCGTTATCATTTGCAAAATTTTAGTGCAAACATAATTTTTTTCTTTTCATATTTTAAAACTTTCGCCATTCGTACCCTTCAAGATAATTCCATATTATTGTACTGAAAAATTAAATTTAAAGAATGTAATGAATTCTGGGAAATAATCTTACTTCAATGAAGTATAAAACTAATAAATGCATATGGAAATATGTGGAAATAAATTCTATTTTTCTAATTAAAAAATATTGCATTTTATTGAATATTAAAAGCCAAGTTATCTGCATAAATATTTAAAAGGATTTTATGTTTCTGCATTAGGTAACTACGCTGAAAGTAAAACTGAAAGACAATATTCAGTAAAAATATATATTACCTCTACTTATATATAATATTTTGAATAATTTGAAAAATATTTTCAACTTTCCCATTAAAAATACAAAACTCACATTCCATAAAGAGGCTTATCAGCGTCCAAGCAGTACATTACTTGCACCAATGTTTATCAGCTGAACATTGGTAATTCGTTTAGAGGTTCGGATCCCACGAACGGGGCTGGCTGCACGAGCGTTTTCGTCATTTTCCCCATGTTTAACATGTAAAGAAGCCAGTTTCCCTTAGAAAGTCCTCCACGAAGGCATCCCTTCCCTTAGGCAGATAATTCTCGAGGCTTTGCCATAACCACATAAGCCTAATGTTCCATAAAGCGCATTAAGAGAGCTAGCACACCAGCAGTTCAGCGGTAAAGTGACTGAGCACTGATAATTCGATACGGTTTGAAACGCGGTGAAAGGGCTGGCTGCATGGGCGATTTCGTGGTTTTCTCATATATAATTTGTGCCTGATCCAGTTTTGCTTAGAAAGTCCTCCTTGAAGGTATCTGTTCACTTCAGATAGCCCTCGAGTGATTTGAACTAAATTAAATAAAATTATAAAAAATAAGCATTAAAAGCATTAGATTATTGCTTCTGTATTATTCCAATTTAGAAATATTAATTTTGTAGAGGGAAGAAATTTGGAAATTAAAGTTCGTGTGCTCTCTGAGAATCGAATCAGAGACTCTCTAGTTGCTACTTACAGGTGGAGAACATTACATTACACCGAAAGGACATATGAGAGAAATTTGGTAATTTTTTTTAATTGTTATTATTTCAGTTATTGAATTTAAAGAACCGGGACTGCGAGTCTAGGCCATAAAAACATAAGAATCAATCCATCAAAATTCGATTTTTTTTTTTTCATTAACGCTCTTATAATTTTTCAACACCAAGATTTCTAAGAGCAACTGTTTATATTTGCTCTTAGCCCCCTCCCACACCCAAAATAATAAGTAGTAAAATTGTAAAACATACTGATATTTTCTTAAATTTTAAAGAAAACAATATCGTTATGGCATACTTAATAAACCCGCTGCTTTCCTTACTTACCGCTATACACAAAAGCGGAAAACTGAGTGACCAAAACTATAGACGTATGTGATTATGATTAGGAAATAAACAAGTTTTTTTACTTCATATTCAGTTAATTAGTTCGGTCATTATATCAAGTAAATTGAGAAATATTATTTACATTCGCAATTTCAGATAAACTCTGAAAAAACACCCAAAGTTGCAAATAAAATAAGAAATTTTCGAAGTGTCCAAGATAATTTACTTTAAAAAAAGGAAAAACATATAACATATCAAAAAAATTTTGTTTCAGTGAGAAAATATTCCTTCTGTCATAGGCAATCAATCGTATATAAGAGGTAAATTAATAAATAACTAAAAGTGAAGGGTATTAGAAACGCAAAAATATCTTGATATTACGGGCGTATGCACATAAATTGTCCATAAAAATTTAAATATATATATATATAAACACGCACGCACATCTACATACATACATAAAAATGCAGATTTATAAACAGGAAAAGAAAATTAAACAGTTATAATTCTTTTCATTTAATGTCTTGATTCAGGTTTCCACAAAATTTTCATTTGGTAACATAGTCCGTAACTAAAGCGAACAATTACTGCTACAAGTCGGATCGCTTTCCAAACACTTGAAAACTCCTGAAGGGCAAAGTTCTGACAGTGCTTGATACTTTTTACAGCGGAAACTAATCAGTCTATCTGATCATTCTCTGCAGGTGTGTGTTTGTGAGGGGGGGGGTTGAGAAAACTGCTTAATGCTTTTGGTGAGTTCTGTGAAAGACAGGTCTAACAATTTTCAAAAGCTTTCGTGACAAAGCTGCTAACGCTTTAGGGAACAATACGTCCAGAGGGTCAGAACCTTCGGAGGGTTAAGGGAAACTGGCTCGTATAAACGTTACACATGGAGAAAACCATGAAAACAAACATGCAGGCCAATGTTTTCACTGGGATTCAAAACCCAGACTAAATTAATAACTGTTCAGCGATTTAATTACTTGGTGGATGCTGGTGGGCAACAATTTTAGTTTTCAACATTTATGCATATAAATGAAGTTTAGCTTCCTTTCTTTGAACGGGTGACTACAGCATTTACATTTTCCTTCCTTAACAATTTAAAGTTCAGTATAGTCAGCAAAACATTTTAATGTAGATAATGGCTTTTCACTTTAACCTTTAGGAATAGATCAGAGCTTGAAGTATGCATATCAGCAGATGTTGAAGATAAGGAACTGCTAGAAAAAAACAAAATGACATATGGAGTATGAAGAATTTTGGTCAGCTATGCAGTTATTAGAAAAGTAACTGCACAATCACAATATGTATTTTATGGCCTCCATAACAAGGCTAATCACAATTGAAGCATGTTCATTCTTATCAGCGATATATTAAATGGGTCCATGGAAGCAAGTTGAAACAGATGTAATCAATTTTGCCAATACTGGTTGTTTCTATTTTCAGTCTTTTCTCACAGCCCAAAATATGAGTGGTTTGTATTTCTCTACAATTTAACTGTCTAAATTTCATTTTAATTGTCTAATATGGTGTTATATTTTTACATAGTCCAAGAGTTTTCAATTTATGTAATCTCTGAATGATAAATTTTATCTAAAACGAAATTTGAGAAAGATGATGATTGAACATTTAACAAATCTGGAAATTCCGGATTTGAGAATGTAAAAAATCCCTAATTCTGGCTATACACAGATCACAATAATCTCTGCATGAGCAAATTTCCTTCAGAAAGGTTCTTCATAAAGCATCCTTCACCTTAGTGTGCTGTGCCATAATTAACTAAGACAACGTTCATAATTCCATATAAATTTCTAAATCAATTCTAAGAAAAGTACTGTTGTAAAAAAAACGGTTTTATAAATCCCAAAAATTTATATGCATTTTTAAAATAAAAATCCAACCGGGAGATTTTAATTACTTTCTGTGCAACTTACCATGATTTTCTACAGCTTCACGCCATACATCAGACAGGGTAAGGGAATGGCCCACATCGAATATGACCGAGAATGAAAGGTATCCAAAGTAGTCTAAACGATGACTGAAATGCAAAATAACAACATTAATACAGGCTTTATCCAAACTGTTAAATAAGTAACCAGAAAATCCGAACAAAGAAGCTTACAAGTCTGGTTGCTCAAACCTGATTTCTTGGCACCGGATATAAAGCTTCGTAGTGACGACCTTCGCCTGATCCATGAATAGCATACGCATTAAAACATGATATGTACGAGGAGGGAAAGTAAGCTTTAGGAATTCTGGCAATACCATGCCAGCGGCCACAGGCGATTGATGCATCATAAGTCAAAGGCAGACACATCTATTTAAAATTGAGCAATTTAAGAAAGATAAGAATTCTTCTTTACATAGACAAGTTTAAACTAGAAAATTAAAACAAAAGCAGAAATGATAATAATGTAAAGTACAGTGGCTTCCAAAAATTAAGCATACAATGCAAATCACCAGTTTCCAAAAAAATAGCAAAATTTAAGCGGCTACTAATCGCTGCAGATATGGTTTGCAGTATGCAAATATTGTACATTACAGCCATATACTCGTTAGGCAGTAACTGAAGGTATTCTGAGGAATTTAAGGAGGTTCATTTATAAATGCTGATAAAGAGTGTTTATAACTTTTTTAAGATGATTTTTGATGCTATTTCATGTCTCTAAGGTTGAAAAAAGATATATGGCAGGCAGTATGCAGACATGCTATAAGATAAACCGAAGCAGGTCAGTCAAAGATGTCGCTCTTTTCTTTAGTGTTGAATATTGGCGACTTCTCGAATGTGGAAACAATTCTAACTGGTTGTCTGGATAATTGTGCCCGGTCAACCAAGGGTTGCCACCCTTTCTGAAGATGGGTGTCTTGCACCTGTAGCCAAGCAGAACTGTCATATAACTACCATAACTGTTACATCTATGTTGCAGCATTACTTACACGATATCCGCCAGTACTTGCCACCGAAGGCTTCACGTGAAGATATTGTAAGCCTGACTACCACATTTTTAGGTTCCATTAACCATTCAAATCCAGAAGGGCAAGATTAAAGTTGTGTCATCACTATTTCAATTGGACTGTCTCAGATTGATGAAACATCCTGTTCATGGACAAATCAAGATTCACCCTGGAATCAGATGATAAGAATGTAAGGATCTGGACAGAATGAGACACATGAAATCAGACCCGAACATTTATATTTACTTGCTTTTAGCTTTAAATCAGGGATTCTTAACACTTTTTCTTGCAACCAAATCAACACCTTTAGATTTTTCTTCTATAATATATATCTTACAATGTAACAATACGAAGAACTGCACATAGGTAACTTAAGATTACAAACTAAGAATAAGATAAACACTTTTGAAAAAAAAAAAGGTTAATTAGAATTATGTTTTATTATTTTTTATTCTTATTATTTTTAATTTTACAAATATAAACAAGTTGTCAGACACAAAATTACAGATTCTAATTGCACAAATGTTCGATTTTCATTAATGTGATGGCTGTGCTTGATGTAATGAAACAAGTTTTTGAATATTTGGCAAAAATTCCTTAATGTAATTCTTAAATTGCCTTGTCCAGAAATATTCAACCTGTTTCTTGGTTTTTATGATAATTTATAGGTTTGACTAAAACCTGTTTCCAATTGGTAAGAGGGAAAAGTCAATAATTTTCGTGCAGTAACAATTTTTAGTTTGGGTTTAAAAATTCCAAAACTTAGCATACCCATGTTTTTTGAATCAGACTTCACTTATTTGTAGAATTAAGCTTTATATCAAAAACAGTTAATTATTAACTTTATTAATATGTATCATCTAATCAAATATTAAAAATTAAATCTTCATTATGCTGATGAATTGCCAATACATATTTGGCTATCCATGCCTTAATAATCCAGACCCCCTTTAAAATCTCATCAAACCCCAGAAGTGTATATCGAACCTGTAGTGAATTCCTGCTTTACACATTAATTTATTAATGACTCAAATATGACATCTTCATATAATTTGTGTAAAAATAAAACATAAAAATAATTCATCAAATCTTCATCATCATTCATATTCATCTTCAAACATATTGCTTGTTTTCTTTCATGCATAAGCACATTTGCAGCCTACATCAGGAATTTGGGGTTGATCAAAAGCTTTATTCCCAATTTTGTTGATTTTACTATAGCATGTTTAACTTTTGGAAGCTTGTGTATTTGCTTTAGGTCTTTCTAACAGTTAAGAGCAGCTAAGCTAATTGTTAACATTATTAGCAATTATATTAGTGAAGAACATGTTCGGATATTAAGTTTTTTAGTTTTTGATTTTACCATCGTATGCTTAACTTTTCGAGGCTAATGCAGTTGCTTTAAGTCTTTCCAAAATTTAGAAAGTAGCTATAAAATCTTAAGAATATCTTCAGAAATTAGTTTTTTAGTTTATCTTCAGAAAGTTATATTTTTACATAATGATGCTACATTTTCAATCATTTAAAAGTTCATTTGCATGTTTCTGTAAAACAGGATTATATAGTTTTAAGACGTATTACAAACAGATGTGATTCCACAAAAATTTAAACAAGCAGTGAACATACATAAAATCTCAGTTCTAATACAAATCCCACAACTATCATAATGACCATAAACAAATTCCAATCTAGTCACTCTAGCGCAGTTATACAATAAAAATACATTTTTTATTAAAAAAACAATACTGAAGCTGAGAGGTTACTTTTCAAACAGAATATTAAATCTGAGTGTTGATTTAAAATGGAAGATGCTTAAGTTCTACAAGGAGATACCATATCAGCACTGCTTAAACTTCTCTTCCTTCATGACCCATTTTAACATGAATATTTTTTGCGACCCCAAACATTAAAAATAAAATAAAGCTACAAAAATAAATATTTTTTCAAAATACTTATAACAAATACACATATGAAAAGAAGTAGTTTTAGGAGTTGTTTCAAGTATGCAAAAATTAGTGAAAGAAAATCATGTTTTAATGAGACAGATGCACTTCTGTTTTCCTACATAACAAATTAGACCTTGGTAACACTTGATGCTGCTTGATATAAAGCAGCTTCCAATGTTTTCCATTATTTAATGATATTTGGATTTACTAAGCATTAAAACCGAAAATGCAATTTCACATGTGTTTACTGAATGGCAGAAGAATATCTGCCATTTCAGAAACTTAAGGAAATTCATTTCTAGGTCCGATCTACAATTCGCACAAGGATTCTTGAGGAAATTCAAATTTTGAATCCTTCGATAGCTCAACAAATTCCTCTTGGGCTTTATATGGCATGGCTTAATCTCATCAATATCAATTCAAAAGTAGTTTTGAATAAGCTAACTTTTTTAACCCCTTCGAGCCAAAAAATCGCAATTTGCGAGCGTCTCTCCATTTGTATAAGCCTAAATCCATGAAATTTCCGAAGTATCAACGCATTGTTTAATAATGCTCTATAGAGTATTTAAACGGCTTTTAAATATTTTATATATATACTTTAATTACCTTATTTCTTGTTAAATGCATATTTTACACATTTTATTTTAATTACTCACCATTTTATGACTTTTAACATTATACACCTGAAAACTAAATATATTACTTAAAATCTCTTTTCGTATGAAAAATTTTAAAAAGGGATCTACAACAGTCCTACGTTACATTCCTTGAACTCGTAATAACTCATTTGCCATTTTGGAGGATTTTTCCGGGAATGTGAACTAGCATCGTCGTCTCATTTCTTATCAGTCTCTTCTGAACAAGTTTTGGAAAATGTCTTTCAGTTAATCTTTGAATCATATCAGAATCAATATCTGAAAAATTTTGCATCATTTCTGCTAATGCTTGTTAAAATTTTCGACGCTTCGATATTGACGGTAAAAACAGAAGAATTCACATCTAACAGATCTAAATTTTCTAAAAACTGAACTGTAAACCGAAATTCAACGCTTTAGGCATATAAAATTTCTACTTACAATAAACAACTACCACATTTAAATGCGATTTAGAGACGTCATAAATCATGCCATTCGGAAACATTTAGTTTGTTTATTAATCAAAAACACGTGTATGTGAGTCATGCTTCTCTCATTCGAGTAGAAGGTCTAATGTACATGTATCTGAAACCATATTCATACAGTGCCATCTTGTGGCAGAAATTATATTTGAAAACGTTTCCAAGATACGGCACAAATACGTGACAGTCGGTAGTAAACGCAACAATGCTCTGGCACGCCTGCGTGTCGGCCGGTAGATAAGCGTGTTCGTTGCTGGCACGTATACGTGACAGTCGGCGCGAAGGGGTTAAACCAAGATCAGATGTAAAAAATTTGCAAAACTTCATGAAGGCTTCTAATTGATCCATAATTATTTTTGCAATTTCAGTTTTACAATCATATTTTTCAGCTATAAAACACACAGTGTGTTGAGATATAAATGCCAAACTAAAACACATTAAAGTTTCACAACAAAGAACACAGATCTTATGTTCAAAAAGGCGAAATTAACGAGTTTTCGACAGCTAATCATAGTTGGGAATTTAATCACAATTTTGACTTCGAGTGTGCAAAAATAATACAGAAAACTTCTTCCATTGGTGAATTGGACTTTCTTGAAGCTATTCATATTCAGTAGCCAAATTATAAATTCAATTTTAATTAAATTATAAATTGAATTATAAATTTAAATGCCTTTTCCTGATTGCTAGTTCCTGCTTGAACAGACTTTGTAGCATTATCCACTGCATCTTTCATTACCTCTGTTATTCAAGTTTAACCATTTACCATGTATAAAAAGTACTTTTTCTCTGAAATATCAATTAAATAACATATTTCATAATAATCATTCAAATGAATATCAACCTTAGTCACGTAAAACAGCAAAATACAATACTGTATTGTCATTGTGACATACACACTCGTTATAGAGAAACAGAAAAAACTGACAATCTACTCGAAAAGCTTTATCACTACACTAGTCATAGCAGTGGTGACCTTATTCCCCGCACACTGTATGGTGCAGAACATTATGTACTTTATGTTTCTGGCATATTTTGATTCTGAAATAACTAACACGTGAAAGTTGCAATGCAACACTGTTATGATGATGTGCTTATTGATATTTATCAATATACAAACATAATTTATAGCTCAATTTGGCAAGTTTATAATCTGGCAATATTATAGTTGGGCGTTTGGCAATTCTATAATTACACTATACAGAAAATGTAATACAGTCAAAAGTCGTTAATCCGGACATCCATAATCCGGACCTCCAAACTACAAACTTTCTGCGCATGCGTCAACGCATAATGCCCAGACACATGCGCATATGCATTGACGCATGCGC